TGTCATTGACGAGAGTAAGAATGTGGAGTTATGATTGTTAATTAAGCTATAACTTCTTTAATTGAAATATTCAAGTATACATATCCACTTTCTTTTTTTAGACTTTAGAATACAAGTGAGTTAAGTGACATCCTTTTAGATAATTCCTGAGTGTTTTATTTGAGAACGTGTCTATATACCTTTTGGAAGAGATAAAATTTTTATATGTGGATTAAAATCATTCATTGATGAAAGGTTAGGAGTATGAATCATTACTAAAAACTTAAGAGACGTTTGGTACGTGTAATGTTTTTATATTCTTGAAAATTATAAAGTGGGAATCTTAGTTTCATATGTTTGATAACTATTTATAAAAAAAATCCTAAGAGTGTAATTTATTTGGAACCATTTTTATCCAACTTTTTCATAAAAAAAATTTCCATGAAAGAGGTGAGAATTGAGAATTCAACTTTTTCAAGTTAAAAAAAAAGTTTAATGGATATAAAAAATCATAGTATTAAAAAAAAAAAACATAAAGCTATCTCCTTCTCTCTCTCATTCTATTTCTCTTTCTCACTTACCCTCCCACTATCTCTCTCCCTACCCCCATCTAGTTCTCTTTCTTCCTCTCGTTCACTCTTTTCCTCTCTACCTTTCCATCTCTCTCCCTCTCCCTTTGTTGTTGTTTTTTTTTTACATTTCATTATTTTTTAATCTTGTCAATTTTAATAATATTAATAAAGTCTGTCTAATAAAAAAAATAAAGTCTACTTTATTTTTATAGTTTAATAGTATTAATTAACATTTTTTAATTAATTGATTAATTTGAATGAAATGAAATATATATTCTTATCCTTCTTAATTATCATGTAACATTTTTTTGTTAAATTTTGTATTTAAATAAATTTTTAACTATAAATTTTATTTTATTTTAAATAGTTTAATGTTATATTTGTAATAAGATTCGAGTAGATAAATATATCTAATAAGCATATCTTAGTAAATGATATTTTTGCAAAAAAACATGTATATTTTTAAGAATATACAATTGTGCAATTAAACATGAAAATCTTTAATTCCTAAAAAATCCTATATATGAATATTCCTATAAATTTTTTATGAGTAACCAAATATATTTTAGTTATTTATAAGAATTATAATTCCCAATATTTGTAATTTCTAGATATAGAAAAACTTCTTCATTACCGAACGCTCCCTTAGTGTAAATTAAATACCATGCTTGTTGTCATTTCCCTAATTCTAGCAAAGTGTTTGGGTGACTTGAGGAAGAAATAAAAGAACTTTTAAAAAATAGTTATTATGCTTTGTTGGCTATTTTTGGAAGTACTTGTGTTGAGAATTAAAGAAGGTAAAGGGGTGTGAAGCTAAGTATAGATCACCATTAGTATTACTTTTATATATCTAAAGACAAATACTCAATTACAAAATAGGTATACATTATCATTTACTGTTAAACTTTCACTTTCAACCTCTTTTATTTTAGTTTTATAAAATAAATAATAATTATACATTCCATTAATTATATATACTAGACTTGTATCCGTGCGTTGCACGAAAAATAAATTATTATAGTCAATAAATTTTTTTAATAATTAATATATATAAAATTGTGAAAATTATTTGAACTCAACGCAACATGAAGAAAAATATCTGAATATACAAATGAAACGATAATGATAAACGACTGAAAACATGATAATATGATGTATTAAGAAAACTAAATTGCATTGTGTCTCAGCTTCAAAAACATTAACATATACACAATATGAGCTAATGCATGAACCTGAAGAAAAAAAAAAACTTATAATTAACTTATAAGATGTGTAATATTAAAATGCTATAAAGATGTAGCAATTCAAATAGAAAGGAAACAAAATTAAATTTTTACCTCGTAAAGTAATTATGTAATGACTCTTGAACACATCCATCATGGAAAATAAACTTTGTGAAATGCTTGAAAAATTGGTAAAATTAGAACTAAAGTAGACATGTTTTCCTTTTATAATGTTATTATAAAAAAAAATGCAAGTTACCTATATCAGAGTCTGAAAGATATTGAGTTTTTTTAAAGAAAGATATTGAGTTGTATGATTTGGTTAAAAAGAAAAAATTGAAAGATTTGAATCAGACTAATTTCATTTATTTTAAAAGAAGGTTATTATTTGAATTATAATAGGTAAAAATAATTAAAAGAATAAAGGACAAAAATACATTAGCTTCTAAAAAAATAACATGCGTGCAGAAAAATTTATCGATGTCTTTACGAAGATCATTGATTCATTGTAATTGATTATGAAAACAATATCTTTACTAATCATATATTTTTTTGGTGAAGATGAAAATTTAAAACAAAAGCAAAAACAAAAATTACATTATCCAACAATGAAATTTATAACTATTATAATTTATGAAAAAAAATCCTCTTCATCCACGAAAATCATCTCCAAGGAATTTGTTTGCAATGGATTCTTAAACTCTGACAGTCTTCACAATCTTATTATATGAACTTTTATCTTTCAGTCAATTCTCTCCGCTGCAATGTTCTTTAGTAATGTAAACCTCTGAGTCATATCCTTTAAAAAGAAGATGAAAGTAACAAGGATAAAATTTTTAATAATATCTTTACTAATCATATTTTTTTTTGGTGAAGATGAAAATTTATAATAGAAGAAAAAACGAAAATTACACTATACAACAATGAAATTTATAACTGTTATAATTTATGAAAAAAAAATCTCTTCATCCATCAAAATCATTTCCAAAGAATTTGTTTGCAATGGATTCTTAAACTCTGGCAGCCTCTACAATCTTATTATACGAACTCTTATCTTCTAGTCAATTTTCTCCGCTGCAATGTCCTTTAGTAATGTAAACCTCTTAGCCATGTCCTTTAAAAAGAAGATAAAATTAAAAAGGATAATTTTTTTAATAATATATTCACTGTACATCAACATTGAAACAACCAACCTTTAAAATTAATACTTCATACAAGCTTACCTAAAAAGTGGTTTTCTTATGATTGATAGAGAAAGTGTGAATCCTCATATTAGAAGTACAAAAGTACCCAAATCAGAAAGTGGACAATGTATATATGAAAAAAGTATTTTTAGAAATAGGAAGTATGATGGAACTGAACAATCAGAATAAAGTTTTAAAAAGAAAAATGCTTTAAAAATTAAAGAATAGTTGAGATCAATTGGCATTGAAAAACTGCAACCAATACATAGGAAATAAATATTCATAATTGCTTCTTTGAGTGGAAGACAAAATGCAAGCAATTTGATGAAAAACGTATAAAGCATAGAAGAAGAGGGATGGTTTTTCTTTTGTATAAAGCAAAGAAAAAGATGAAGGGTTTTTCTTATGTTCAAAATTTATTAAAATAAAAAATAAAATTTAGAATAATTATGATAAGATAAAATTACATAAGTACCCTTATTTTGAGCGGGAAAAAAGAATCGCATACTTCATTATTTTTATTATAATAAAGATAAAGATAAAGATAAAGATAAAAATACTAATAGATAAAGGGAATATTTCTTCCTGTAATCGTTTTTTGTCTTTCCCTCTCATCTATAAATGGATTATTGTGATACCCATTACGAGGGAGATATCATATATGTAACGGTTTTTTGTCTTTACTTTTTAGTAGACCGTTATACTCTTCAGATTAAGAATGACAATCTAACCCGGTCCCGTGAATACCTGTCTGAACTCACCCCGATTTGGACGGAAAAAAACCCGTGTTGACCGGCTTTGAATTTTTCCCGATTGATAAAATTGGAGACGGGAGCGGGGACAAAGATGTAAATACTCGCCTTGTCTTGCCATCGCCCCGTTTAATAATATAATTAAAAATTTATTCTTATTTATATATAAACCAAAATTAGACACCTTTTATATGTAAAAATTTGTATTACCTTGTTTTTATTTTTTTATTTTTTTTCATATTTATTAGAAATAAAAAAAGTCCAAAAGCAGGGGTGCGGGTGGGGTGAGAAAACTCGAACCTCGTCGAGTACTCAAATTTTACCCTAGCGAATATCAGGAGCGGAGACAGTTCAAATCTACAGGGAGAGACGGGAAACATAAAACCCGCCTCATTGTAATACCTACCTCAAATGTTAAAAAAATATATTTTCATTCTCTCTGAATAACCACCCATAACTATCTAATA